TGTAGCATCTCTGCCAGGTCCTGGGTGCAGAGAGAGATGCATTTGGCTTCTCTCAGTGCCAGCTCTCTTCCTGGAAGGGGGATTCTTTGCATCCTGTGGCACATCCCACAGAGGCAGGTATCTGCTGATCTCATCTGACATTGGCACACGCACAACAAGCTTCAGGAAAGACACAGGGCAAAGTCTTCAGTGAATTAATTTGGTTCTTATACACGCTGTACTGTTTCATTCCTGCAGTACAGTTCTCCCTGGGAGGCAACACCAAACGGTCTCCTTGTACACATGGGATAAAGGGCTGGGCATGTCCTCAGGGGTGACATCCCCTGGTTAAGATACGTGACGAGTTAATAACTGTATGGACACTATGTTCCACCAAACCCCAGTTGCATCCCTATAGCGTGCATAGAGAACAAGGATGAGGAGCTTAAGGAAACACTGAGACAAGAGAGATGTGAGAAATGTGATGCTTTATTGGGTTGCTGGCACCTCCTGGGGCCAAGGCACAGCCTGGTGGCTCAGGCAGCAGGGAAGCAGGAGCGATGCCCATCCCAGGCAGCTGCAGCTGGGGGGCAGAGCAGGGGGGCTGCAGCCGGGTGCCCCGGGGCGTGCAGAGCTTCGGGGAGGCCGCATGGAGCTGGTCCATGCGTGGGCTCTGCTGCCGCAGCGGGGCCGCACGGGACGCCCCATCACTTCAGCTTCTGCACCTGCTGCTGCTGCTGCTGCTGGCACACCACCTGCGGCTTCCCGTGGCAGCAGGAGCCTCCAGAGCTGTGACATCCACCACCACCGGAGCTGTGACATCCACCGCCACCGGAGCTGTGACAACCGCCGCCACCACCGGAGCTGTGACAGCCACCGCCACCAGAGCTGTGACAGCCACCACCGCCGGAGCTGTGACAGCCACCACCGGAGCTGTGGCAGCCGCCGCTGCTCTGTCGGATGTAGCGCTCCTGCTTGTGGCACTGGTCCTTCTCCTGGCGGGAGCACATCCTGGTGTGCTGGGGTGACCTGTGGGAGAGAGCGGCTGTCAGGGTTTTCCTTTCCCATTTCTGCTTTTCCATGGAAGAGGACTCTGGAAGTTACATTTATCTGTTCCTTGCCAGCTCCCACAATCACCTCTAAACTTAAGAATCACAGAATTGTAGAGCCATCTAGGTTGGAAAACACCTTCAGGATCATCAAGTCCAATCATCAATCTGACCTACCGAGTCCCACCACTAAACCAGGTCCCTTAGTGCCACAAGTCTCTTCCAGAACCTCGGTGGTTGTCCAACTGGAGCTGTCTCCAGAGATGCTGGGAGGCATCTGGAGCCGCTGGACATGGATCATGGCTGGGTTTTCCAAAAACTCACAAAGCAGTGCCCCAGGACCTCCCTCTGGCTCCAAACCTCTCTGCCCTCTTTCAGCATCGCCCTTCTAGAGCCCTGCACTCCCTCCTCACTCCATCTCCCTGCTCTTGAGCACCCATGGAGCAAACTCCAACCCCACTGAGCCCAGAGCCCCGCAGCATCGCTGCTCTTACCCGAGGTGCTCGTGCAATGAAGGGATGAGGATGCAATGTGTCTCTCTGGGACAGCCGCGCTTTTATACCCTTTCTGCAAATGTGGTCTGGAAATGAAACACCTCCCCATTACATAGGTCTGTCTGCTCATTTAATTCACTGGTGGCTTTTTTTTTTTTTTTTTTTGGCCTCCCCACTCTTTGGGTTGCCTGTGTGACTCACCTTGTCTGCACTGGGTATCGCCTCTTGTTATCGGCTATCTTTCCTGTGCCGCAAAAATATTTAATTACTAGCCCTACCTGTGCTTAGCTCCGGTGGGGGAGTCGCGTGGGTGGCCCTGATTTCCACAGCTTGTTTTTGGTGTTGATTGCAGCTCAGGATTGCTTCGCCTTTGGGGGGAAGAGGAAGGGGGAATAATCATAGAGTCACAAAATGATGGGATGGTTTGGGTTGAAAGGGGGATTAAAATCCATCTCATTCCAATGCCTGACATAGGCACAACACCTCCTGCCTGACCAGGCTGCCAAAACCCCATCCAGCCTGGCCTTGGGCACTGCCAGGGATGGGGCATCCACAACCTGTATGGGCAGCCTGTGCAGGGGAACCTCACCGCCTTCATCGTGAAGGATTTCCTGCTAATACCTAAACCAAAACTGCCCTCTTTCACTTAAAAAACATTGCCTCTTGTCCCATCACTCCAGGCCCTGGTAGAAAGTCTCCCTTGTTCTCCTAACCCTCTTTGTGTATGGAAAGGCTGCAGGGAGGTCTCCCTGGAGCCTTCTTCTGGCCGACCACCGCAGCTCCTGGCTTGGCCAGAGGTGCTACAGCCCCCAAGCAGCCTCGTGGCCTCCTCTGGCCCCGCTCCAACAGCCCCACATCCGCCTCATGCTGGGGACCCAGAGCTGGATGTGGCGATGTCCTGGACCTGCGTCATGTACACCTGTTAAAAGGTCTAGGGGAGCTCTTAAACACCCACAAACCCAGAGATGTTTCTGGAAGTACCACCAATGCCTTTGGCACTGTAGAGCTCTACCTTAATAGCAGTTGGATGGGTACCACTGCTGGCTGGGTTCTGCTAACCTAGCAGGAGTGGGATGCAGTTGTGAAGAAAGAGAAAAGGCAGCTCCTATAAAACGTTTTATTGGCCCAAAAGTTTTCTGCCTTTTGTGAGAAGGACCAAAAGCATCTGGGATTCTTATTTTTGGAAGGGGGAAGATCTGCCCTAGGTAGTGATCTCAGATGAGCAAGGTGCATAATTATGTGGTTAACTTTCAGCCTGTGATTAATGCCGGAGCGGCAGCACTGGTGGCTGCTTTGAGGTCATGAGTGGAGGAGAAGGCTCCCGTGGGTGCTGCCCTCAGTGACGCGCGGCGGCCTGTGGTGGGTGCTGTGCCTCGGGGAGCTGGCAGACCCCAGGGACTTTCTCCAAGCTGGTAGTAACATCATTTTTGGAGCCCTTTTCTCCCCAATTAGTTCATAATTGGCCAAGAAATCCAAGTGTTATTTTGACTAATGCACAGACCCACAGGAGCCTTGAGGCCACGCACTGTGTTTGCAATGAGAGCTAATTACAAGCAGTAATTTGGGATAGTCCTTGTACCTTTCCACTACCTCCTCTGCTTGGGCTCTGGGTATGTGCTGAGGACCACAGATCTCATTTTGCCCTTTTCTGCAACTACTCATGGAAGATATTTCAGTTATTGCGTAGGCAGTGAATAAAAGACTAAAATCAGTACTGTGAACAGTCAGATGAAATAAGGAACTGCTGAGATTTTGCCAGAGCTCAGCAAACACTGGCTGACCATAAGCAATGTTGAAGTATTTCGCCTGCCTGAAGAGATGCTCAAATCATGGCTACTGAAGGGCTCCCTGTCCTCCACCATGTTCATTACGCTTGAGGACTGTGTAGTATTCTTGGTCCAACTCTGCTGCCTTTTATTTTTTTTTTCTTCACGCATTTAAATTTTCATGCTACTCCCAGGCCCGCACAACAGCCATAGCCCCATCCCTACTTTGCTCACACTGTTATGAGACGCAGCGTGCTTTGGGGAACGGCTATAAAACCAAGAAAACCCAGACGTGGAAGTATCTCTCCAGCCCAGTGTCAGCTCCTGCTTTGAGACCTGGTTCTTGAGCCTTTTGTTAACATGCTGCCCATCCTGAGCAGTTCCTCATCCGGAAAACATCTGACACATTTGCTGCTACCTAAACGCGGAGGATTTTTAGAAAGGCGGGAGGGCAGGGCAGGGCTAATGAATCAGGCACGTAATCTAAATGCTTCTTTTGTATTGCTTAATTGCTGTTACGAGCTAGAACAGTGTCAGGGCAAACTGTACTCAGGTTTGATCACTTCTTTTTAATTGTATTTTGATCTGCCATTAGAAGAAATATAGTAAGTGTTCTCCGTGAATAAAAGGTTAAGTGTAATTTTTAGCTCTGGAAGTTGTGCTGTGTTCAGTTCCTCACATTTTTGTTGAACTGAGTTTGTTAAAGATCAGCAGCACTGGGCACCTCTAAGTTTTGTGCATGTCCTCCTTAGCATGCCTTGAGAATGGGACTTGTAATTGGGGCGTAAGGCACGAAGCCACAGAACCGGCTTTTTCAATCGATTCAGTGCTCCTGCGCCGAGCGCAGCCTGCCCAGGGAGTTTGTTTCTGTCTGCACCCTTTTCAGCAATGCCAGATATTTCTGATCATCGTGACACACTCGGGAATCATCTTACAAGGGCAACAACCATTTCATGAACGGCAATAGCAGACCGATAAATTACACAATTCCATTTAATTACGTGCTGAGAAGAAATTTATCAGTTCATCATGTACCACTAGCATCGTGCTACACCCCTGGCTCGACCCAGGGCTCTCCAAGCACTGGGCAGGGGGCTTCTGGAAAGGCTGGCTGGGGGGATTGTCACCGGCACATGGAGACACCTGCCCTGGGGATGGTGCCTCGAGGGCAGATGGCAATGGAAGAGTTTTCTGCCCCCATACCCTCACCCCAGAGGACTTCTTCTGTGTCACCACTCTGTGTGTCCGGAGCTGGTCCCAAAGATTTAAGCAACACATCCTATGGGGTCTCGGTGGGAAGATGGTGTGGAGGAGAACAGCCTGCACTGTGGATGTGTGAGCCAGCCTCTGAAAATGTCAGCATTTAAAAATATTTATTCTCCTTTTTTCATTAGGAGCTCATAAAGGAGACAGTGGCAGTGCCCACCCCATTGCTTGGACCTGTGCAGGGTCAATTCAGAGCCGTTAAACAAGCACAAGGTGTTGCAGCACCGTGATATGAAATGCAAGGGGAAAGAAAAAACATGAACACAAAACTGTCAATGCACTCCAAATGGTTATGGCTCATTTATTGTCAAAGACTGATACAGAGAAAACCATGTCAGACTGAATATGCACAGCACATTTCTGGCACCTACGCATAAGCTCATCACAGGTACAAGACTGGCCAGGAGAGGGAGAAGAGACATTGCATTTTATGATTGCCGGGAGACGTGCAAGGATTTTGGAACACGTGCACCACATGCAGGCAGTGACCCGATCACTTCATCTTTGACACCTGATAAATTTGCTGCTGGCAATCTTGTGGCTTTCCATGGCAGGATCCCCCCCTGCTTCTGTGGCATCCAGACCCCCCACTGCTCCCGTGGCACCCAGATCCGCCGGTGCTCCCATGGCACCCAGATCCTCTGCTCCCATGGCATCCAGATCCCCCGCTGCTCCCATGGCATCCGGATCCCCCGCTGCTCCCGTGGCACCCTTCACTGCTGTGGCACGAGGATTGCTCTTGCCGGTGGCACTGGTCCTTGTCCTGGCGGGAGCACATCTTCACAGGGCTGTTAGAAAGACCGTCACCTTGGAGTGGGTGCAAAGGCAAGAGGCACTGCTGAGTCTGCCAGCCAGCAGCAGCAGTGCCATTATGTGGGATTACATATCAAGAATATATTATCATTATTAACCAGGTTCTTGAAGAATAGAGAAAAATTAGTGATGCATACCCCTAACCCTAACCCTTCCACTTCCATGCTTAGCAAAGATGTAAGATAGATGTTAAGGCACTCAGGGATTAGTGAGAAGTGGTGGTCAGAGTCCAGTGCTTGAGTTGAAGAGTCCTGACCTCAACAGCCTGAAGCAGAAAGTTTTAAGTTTTTTCTAGTTACTTTCTTTTATTCACATACAGAAAGAGAAGACAACGTAGCCAGAAGGACTGAGCTACTGTGAGCAGAGACAGGCACACAGATGAGAAGCGTAAGAGAAGTGGCCAAGGACAAAGTTGGCAATCGTCTTTTGATGCAGGAGTTTGAGCTGGACTTACTATGTTCAGCAGGAGCTCGAGAGGAGACGTGAAGCTGAGAGAATGAGGAGAAATGGGGTGCGAGGTCTTTTATAGGGTGCTCGGGATTTTTCCTCCGGAAACAAGAGGAGCTCCCACCGGAGAGACTTGATTGTTCACCACTGCAAACACTTCACTAATTGGAGTTTTTACTCTCCTGTTTTGACTCACGGTGTTGCAAACAGATCAATATCCTGCCTTTGGGATCACCATTCCTCTTGTTACTCCATAAAAATGTTAATTGCCCACCACACCTGGTGTTGTTCATGTGCAGGGATGGGGAGGTTTCTGGATAGTTGTGCTGCATTTACCCGAAATATTTGCCTTCTGCATTTGCCTCTCATGAAGCAGCCAAGAGTCCAATTCAGCAATGTGAACATGTTGTAGGAAGGTGGAATAGTGGGGTGGGATGTTGGTCTTGGGGTTTTATGGGTTGCCAAGGGACCCAGCAGAAAAAAATAGCTAAAAAAAGGCCACGGTGGTGTGTAGGATAAATGAGTGTGTTTGGGCAGCTTGTGAAAAAAAAAATCTAGGTTGTGAGTGGGCGAAAGAGATAAAGGGAATTAAGGATGCAGGTATGAGCACATGATGGGTCGGCAGGAGGTGAGCGAAGAGCCTGGGGCTGGTGCCCTGAAATAAGGAGTGTGAGCATCCTCCACTGGCCCCAGGGCAATGGGGACTGGTCCCATTGGGGTACAGAAGGAGTGGATAGGCCTCTGGAGTCTGAACCCATTCCTGAGGTTTGGGTTTGGGGTTTTCAGGTGGGAGACTTTGGAGCAAACTCCTGCTGGATGCATCCAGTTGGAGCGATGGGAATGGGGAATGCAGGCTGGGCATGGACTGGGAGGCAGGGGAGCAGCATCGATGATAAACCTATCTCTGACTAAAACAGCAAAGAAGCACAAAAGAGTGATGTAATATTTTAAGTCAGTCCTTGTTAACTGAAGGAGAGACATTTAACCCAAACAGGAGGAATTTAAGACCCTACAAGGAAATCAAACACATCCCAACAGGAGGCTCACAAGGCCATTTGTCCCATCCCCCTGACATTTGCTCCCAGTGTCTGATACTGATCTCCTTTCTGACACTCAGATAGGAGAAAAAAGAGGGAAAAAAGCTCTGTAACTTTTTGAGCTCTTCCCTCCCTCTCTGCCTCTGTCTTCACATGTAAATTGGGAAGCGTCTCTGCCCTTTAGTGCTCTGCTCTGGGGAGGAAAGTGGCTTTCTGCCTGTGGAGCACCTGCAGCCTGATCCCAGCCAGGACTCTAGAGGCCACTGTAATATTAATAATAGCACGGACAGACTGAAATAAAATAGTGTCCAGGAAATTCACTGCTCGGCAGTGGAGCTGAATCACTTGATTGAAGAGGTCCGAGAGGAAACCGGAACGTGTCTGGGGATATTTCACAAATGACAGAAGAATGAAGATTCTTGTGAAACTATTATTCACGATGAAGCACTAATTGCACCCTGGATCACCCGGATGGTGACAAACATGTTTATCACTTCTCTCAGCGATAGAGACATCCACCTGAACATGGTCTGGCAGGGAGGATGCTCACGCATGTTAGAGACCCAGACCTGTGTCTGACCCTATAGCTGCTGCCCGAGACCCAAGGTTCTTCTGCAAAGCACCTAGACTTTGGGAAATGCTTTCCTGAGTCCTTTGGTCCTACGTAGAGTGGATTGCAGGTTTGTTCTGTGTGTAATTTGTTGGTTTTATGGAAAGAATTGCATTTGCAATTGTCCTAATACAAGGAGCTGGTCACGACTATTCCATATTTCAGTTATTGGTTTTCTATTTACAGAGGGGATAAATGAAGCACAGAAAAAAATACTACACCTTAGAAGGATCTGTGGGACAAGTCTGGCACAAGTACAAACTTCCAAATCCCTTTTTGTTTTCAGGCACGTTTTGTTCATGCGGAATCCCCCTCACTAGAGGTTGGACAAACCTATGTCAAAATGGCTTAGGCAAAGCAATTCCTGTCCTGGGGAGTGGAAAGCAGGAGCTGCCCTCCTGACATCTGTCCCATCCCTCCTTTCCCCAGCCCAGCAAGCTCCAGAGGGGATCTGAAGTGGATTTGTCACTTTGCCCCAGCCCCATCCTTTCCTGTGAAGGTTTTGCTGGCACCATCCTTCCCACAGAGGTCCCTAAGGTGCTCACAAGTGACATTGCATGCCGTGGGGTGGCCAAGCCATTGCAGCCTGAGCGCTCGAGGCCCGTGGGCTGTGCTGTTGGGCTGCACAGGGCTGGGACAGCCCAAGGAGCCATGCTCGGGATGGGAGCTGTGTGATCCTCAATGTGTCATGGCATCATCCTGTGTGCCTGGGTGAGGAAGAGCCCAGTGAGGAAGGCTGGCATGTCGAGAGCCCCATGTGTGCACTGACAAAGCCTCCATTCCAGTAAGGGGCACCTTGCACCTGCATCGCCTCCTTTTCCTCTCCAGGTTGTGCTGCAGGAGAAATCTCCACCTCTAACGCTGCCGAGCAGCTGACTGCGATGTGTCACATCCTGCAGGCTGGGCCGGGCAGGACGCTGGGCGGTGGGGACATTGGAGGCTCTCGCCTGGGCTGGGTGAGGAGCGAGGAGCCTCCTGGGACATGAGGCTGTGAGTCACCAGTTGCAGGTCCCTGCTTTGCTGCCAGCAATCCCCCTGAGGAGCTCCTCTAATCCCCCTGACCTGGCCCTATAGGGGGCTGGGGGCCTTTTGCCCTGCTAAAGAGAGTGGGTCCAGCCAACTCCTCCCCTGTCTACTGCCACACTTCTGATCCCCATTTGGCTTGTATTCCTAGCTAAACGGTCCCCATTCCTCCCCCAGCTCGAAGGCTCCATCCCTGAGGCAGAACTCTTCTTTTTACCTCTCTGATGAAGTGTGTGTGGTGTTTTTTTTTTTTTTTCCTTTTTTTTTTTTTTTTTTTTTTCACGTTAGTATATTAATATTTAATTGCTGGGTTGCACACAGAGTATGTGATGAAAACTGTTAGCTTTTTCTCAACAGGGAAGGTGTGCCTGGAGGAGGAATAATGTGAAACTGGTCTGAATCAACCAGGAGCCTTGAAGTCAGGGTGAATGGGGATGCTGCAGACATCAGCTTCCACCACAGGAAGGGTCAGAAGCAATTCAAAGGGATGAAGTAGAAAACACTGATACAAGGGGGTCATGAGCTGTACTTTTTATTGGCTCTGCATCTGCTGTGAAAGAACTGTGGGAGGTGAATTGATCACAGTGCAGGGTGTTTCATTACATGAGCCACCAAGATAAGGAACAGCACTTAATATTTCACACTGAGACAGTGGGTTACATCTTCAAAGCACGTTACAAGCAAAATGACAAGAAGAGTGGAAACCCTTGAGCAACACAGGACATGCCGAAAACTGGGGCGATGTTGTGAGGATGAGAAGTTTCCCGTTCATCCCCACTCCTCACATCCCCTACTTTATTTTCCGGGCCGGCACTTTGCAGACCTGCTGCTTCTGCTGGCTGGGGATGCACTTTGCCACGGGCACACAGCCTTGCTGCACTGGGACGGGGTAGGTGGGCAGTGGGCAGATCTGCGGCACCCGCTGCACCGGCTTGCTGCAGCACGGCTGGTACCCTGAGCTCTGGCGGGTCTCGTGGCATCCTCCTCCGGAGGACGTGTGGCACCTCTCAGAGCACACCGACCTCCCGTAGCCGTGGCATCCCCCGGTTGAGCCGTAGCTGTAGGTGGGTCTCCTGACACAGCCCCCGCCTCCGTGGCACGAATCAGCCGCCGTGTAGCCGTGGCACCGCTCGGAGCAGACCGGCTGCCGATAGCCATAGTGCCGGTAGTTGTGCCCCCTCATTCCTTCCACGCCTTCGCCATCGCACCCCGAGGAGCAGGTCTCGTAGCCGTAGCGAAAGGGCGTGCGCCGTGTGTCCAGCCAGGACCCCGAGGGGTCGTACCAGGTTGAGTTCAAGTTGAAGTAGGATTCCCTTCCAGAGGAGTATATCATGGTGCAGTTGTAGGGAAAAATCTGAAAAACACATGGAGAAACTTGCATTTTCATCTCTGTTTCCATTTAACTTCCCATAAGCTGCTTTGGTGTCCCATGCATAGTCCAGCTTTGCTTATCCTGAAACCCAGGATCTAAAGAAAGTCCTTGCTGTCACCCTGTATATCCAAACCCTCTCTCTGACCTTACCCTTATTTTTTTCCCGTCTCCAAGAACAGAAGCAGCCATATGGCATTGCAGCACATAGCGGCATTGCTGAAAATCCTGAACCCAAGTCCCTCAAAGGCTTCTTTTGTGTCTTAGCCCACCATCTGGCCTCTGTGTGAGGAGCACAGTCTAAAGGAAAGCACTAGTATGCCCGGTCTGTGACATCCTAAATCCAGACACCCATCCAAAAATGAACCCAGGTGCTCTGAGCTGTCTTACCCAATTCACAAGGAGAAGGCAGACGCTGAGCGGGGGAGCAGATTGTGAGAGGCAAAGGGACCGAGTCCTTTTATACAGTTCCAAGTCTT